CCCCCCCCCCCCCCCCCTTATCAAATTTCCAGCGCACCAACGGAGCTTAAGATTCACGCGGCACAAAAAATTCGATGGAGGGGGTATAGATGCTGCATTTAGAAACCATAGGGATTTTAGGAGTGAGTATTGAAAACAAGGGGGTTTTGGTGCCTATTTTCCAAACCACAAGGGGGTTTAGAGCCATTAGGCCATATGCAAACTCGGGGCCTAATTGATAAGATTATCCCCCCCGATTATGATACGGAGTAACATGGAGTCATGATTATTCTCCCGGATTATATATTTATATACTCCGAAGTAATTTTTAAATCTCGAAATAACTATTTCCAAACAGTAAGTTTTACAAAATATTTTTTATGATCAGCCAATACATCTAGTCGGTTAAACCAGCTAAATTAAATAGTCATTCAGAACAACTGACACAAACAGCCAACAATCGAAAACCAACATCTAAATAAGGTCATTACATTAAGAAATTTATATCTCTTTTGTTTCATTTTCATAAAATATGAGTAGGACTTTGTTTTTATTGAACTCTTCTTCTTCTTCGTCGAAATCACTACCCGCTCATAGAACATCGCTGACACAAAATCACATACCTTGTGGCAAATTGGGCAAGGCTTGTGTATCGACCGGAATAGAAGTATCAATAACCGGTACTTAAGAATTACCCGGCACTCCACAACTGACATATGTTGGCCAGTCCTTCAATAGAGACGACTGTCAAGAAATCTTGAGAATGAGAAGTCCGGATACATTCACACCACTTTTTGGCAAGGGAATAGATCAAATTTTTCTCCCAAAGTTTGAATGGTGATACTAAATAAGGTACTCGCCAAAACATATGGGGCTTTTGAGAGCCGATGTCTGACAATACCACGATCCTAAATAATGTGTTCCTACAAATTCCAAGATTGTACTCTCAAACAAAAAACCATTGAAATGTGAATTAAAATATGGAATACGATGTTGTTATGGATAGTAGAGTAGGATATTTATTACTATTATTATTATTATTATTATTATGATAATTATTATTATTATTATTATTATTGTAATTTAGGTTTTATTAGGTGAGCAGAATTATAAGCTCCTTTGAGGTTTCTTTACGGTTCTTTTCCTCGTCGCTTTTATTGAACCGTTAGGTTAGCGTTAGGGTTTCCCTATTCCCTATATATATAGAGATGTAACCCCTTTAGAATATTCAATCAATAAACAAATCAAAACCTTAATCTCTTCTCCTCTCTCGGTTCGCCGATTCTCTTCGTCCCAATTCTTCTTCTTCCTCGTCTCATATTCTCAAGAGCTTGAAGACGCTCTAAGTCTTCCATATCCGATACGAGTTCGTATCATTGGTGCTCTCGTTGAGAGACTTCAAAAAAAATCCAAAAAAAAAAAAATTGTCCACCAATTACCGATCCGGGACAACACAAATCCCCACAGCGTTAATTTGCCTGTGTGACCAACTGCCGATCCGGAATCAAGAATTGAAAAGGCAGAGTTGATTCAATCCATATTCAGCAACGGCCTTTCCAACCTCAAGATTGAAGAAGGGAGTGTTAAATCATCTTCAACAATTTGTTTTTGTATTGCCTCCATTGGGTGTGCCGCTACAATCCGAGCAATCCCTAGTTTTGGGCCCCAAAAATTGCCGCCGAACCCTAAGAAACAAAATTGGGTTTTTTACAATAGTCTTGGGTTGCTTTGAGTCTTTGACCCACGCATGGAGTATTAATTCAATAATTGGGTGCTACTAATACTTCCGCCTTGGACGAACTGAGTAAGTGGGTACCAGATTTGAGTGCATTGTTTTTTCATTTTTTTTTGTATCCGTCTTGCCACAACTATAGTCTCGATTTTGGATAAAATTATTGTGACCATGGACGATGCTTTAAACAAACTTCTTGGTGTGTTGAAGAATATCTTTTATGGAAGAGCTGAGTTTCACGAAGGTGTCTGTATAGCTTATGATCACGTGGATGAAATTTGGAAGACGTTCCACTTATTTCGTCATCTTTTAGATCTACCGTATTCTGATTCTGAGTTATATGCGTTCAATGTGGAAGCCTCTTGTTCGATACAAGATTTAGTTCGTGGCCCTCCCATTGCATTAAGTCAAATTCCCTTGGAGTTAGCAAGTTTCAAAACAAAGATGATGAACGCTATAAGGAATCTTCTTGGTGCTCCACTTGCTCCAGTAGATATGGCCCCTACAACCATTTTACACAACCCCACATCTTGTAGTATGGAATTTGTTGAGCACATTATTGTTGATTCAATGAGTGTTTCCGAAGTTGATGATAATGATGTTTCTGTTGAAGCTGTTGTTCATGCCTTTCCGTCCGATCTCATAGCTGTTGATACCCCCGTAGCTGCATTAGGTGATGGAGAAGATGTAAAGGCTCAAACATTGAGCAATGTCATCATTGCATATAGCTCTATGCCTCTGTCCAAAACAGCCCAGGTAGTTGATGCAAATTTTGTGCAAGCAGACAACTCACAGTCATTGGATATCATCGAGAATCCTGGCCATGCTAATATAATTGAGTTTGGGTACCGGATCCTGCCGCGTGTAGTTATGATCATGTCATCAAGTGACCAAAATCTTTGGATCAACATTTTCTCTCCAGTCCAGAAGCATGAGTGGGAGCCTCCACCTTGAGGACAAGGTGGTTTTCTAAGGGGTGAGAGTGTTATGGATAGTAGAGTAGGATATTTATTACTATTATTATTATTATTATTATTATTATTATTATTATTATTATTATTATTATTATTGTAATTTAGGTTTTATTAGGTGAGCGGAATTATAAGCTCCTTCGAGGTTTCTTTACGGTTCTTTTCCTCGTCGCTTTTATTGAACCGTTAGGTTAGCGTTAGGGTTTTCCTATTCCCTATATATAGAGATGTAACCCCTTTAGAATATTCAATCAATAAACAAATCAAAACCATAATCTCTTCTCCTCTCTCGGTTCGCCGATTCTCTTCGTCCCAATTCTTCTTCTTCCTCGTCTCATATTCTCAAGAGCTTGAAGACGCTCTAAGTCTTCCCTATCCGATACGAGTTCGTATCAGATGTGTACTCCTATTACTCCTATAAAACTAAGACAAATTATTAATTTTGAATCTAAAATCTCAACTTTCTCAAGCTTTAAACTTAAAATGATTTTGAAAATTTTTATATTTTTTATATATTATTCGAAAAAAAGATAGTTTCGAAACAGAAAAGGTATCACTTTTACTCGTAATTATTTACACATTTGGTGAAATTTGAATGTAAATTTATTTGCAGAATAGTCAAACACTTGAGCACAACTTGCGTTAGAGTAGAGTGCCG